TAGTAGAACTGCTCCATAGGGTTTTCCTGGTTGTGATCTTTCAGAAGAAGATTACCAGACCTGTCTTCTGAAGCATCTCTGCGTGGGTTTGAACTGCCAGCCTTTCAGCTAGTAGTCGAGTGCGTAGCTGTTTCTGTGGTACGCGTTATGAAGAAAAATATAGCAGGGTAAGGGAACAGAATGATGGAAGGAGAAGTGCTGTTTTATCAGGGGATTCTGAGACAAATCTCTTGATAAGGTGGCATTTGAAAGATGAATAGAATTTTTTCATAGGGTAATGTCATGGGGAGAAGGTCATTGCAGGCAAAGGGGACAGCATGAGCAAAGGCAAGTGTTCTAGGATGTAAGGAAGGTTCCAGGATGGCTAGTGTATATGATGAGAGGTGAAGAAGAAAAATCGCCAAATATATAGGTGAAGGCCAAACTGTGGATGATCTTAAAGTTTAACCAAGAAGTTTTGATTATATTCTGTATGTCAGAGGTGGAGAGCACTAATGCTTCGTAAGCAGGAGAGAAAAATAAGAAGAAAGGTAACCTCTGCAACATTTTGTTGGGAAGATAGGCAAATTCACACAAGATAAGCGAATACACCGTTGCAATGCTTTTTTGGAAAAATAGGCAAGGAGACTAGTTTTCAGACTATTTAATAGTTCAAGATTTTACTTAGGACAGGATGTTTAATGGGAAGGAGTTAGACTTGGTTCAAGGTGAGGAGTAATGCAGAGAAGGAGTCCAAAACATTGAATCTGAGAACATAGGGGGCTGGTTTTCAACATTTACTGAAATAGAAACATAGGGAGGATAATTTAGGGCTGGGGAAATCAGAATTTTTGAAAATGTTGAGTATGATGTATTTTGGGGACATTAGCATGGAGATGCCCAGCCAGCATATAGAAGTGAGGTTCTGGTCCCAAGAAGTATGTCTGGGTGGGAGATAAACCTTTTTGGGTTATTGGTGTAGAGGCCTGATGTTTAAATCCTGGAAGTGAATGAGTTTTGCAAAGTAGAATATACTGAATGGGAAGATAAGTTAATTATCTCTCAAGATACCTTAGGAATATGTCGCTTTC